GCCTCGCCACGATGAAGGCTTGGAGCTGGCAGGACTCGCTTCGCCAAGCGGCCACCATTCGCACACTGCCGCACGCGTGGAAGGAACACCTTCTTCCGCAACAGCAGCAGCTCGACGCGGAACAACCGCGGCCGTCAGAAGCCTCTTTAGACAAGCTCCTGAATGCTTGCAACAGCAGCCCTGCGTTCTCGTCTCGTCTTGCTCCCCTCGACGGTGCCGCATGCGCGTCGCTGCCCGCGCTCGAACCACTGCCACGGGCCGCGGAACTTGTGTCGTTAAGGGCAAGTTCCGACCAATTATCCCCAGCTTCCTCGTTCCGCCTGCCAGCGGCGCACTGTCAGCCTCCCGTGCTCTCCCCGGCGGGCGACGCAGAGCCTGCGGCTGAATTCATGCGAACGGACGAGGCACAGGAGGGGCAGAGGTGCGAGTGGGAGGGGGAATGGCGCGAGGCGGACGAGGTGATGTCGCCGCGGAGCAGCACGGGCAGCTGTTGCGACCCCGAGGACCTCGACTCGCTGCTGGAAGCACCGCACGCCTTCGGTCAGCTTGCGTGGGAATCCGAATTTCATGCCCAGTCGTCTCATTCTCGCAGCAGCTCCTGCGATCTCGCTCTGCCGCCCAGATATTCCCCGTCCGCCTCTTGCGACTCGCGACTTTCCGCGGAAATGTTCGAATCAGCTAGCTCGTGCTTCGCGGCGAACCCTCCTTTCCAACTGAGCTCCCAATGCGTGATTGATCTCGAGAGGATTCCCGAGTTGGTGTTGTGGTTACTCCAACAAGGCTCGGGTCATGAACACGACATGGTGGCGCAGCTGCAGCAAACTGCGGCGGTGCTGGCGAAATCAGAGGCTCGTGAGGGCGCGGTGCAAGGCGGGGGGAGTGCGGGTGTAGAGGTGGACGAGCAGCTGAGCTGTGCAATCCGGCAAGTGTTGATGATGCAGGCAGCCTGCTAGGCCACTCTGTACCCGCGCAGTAGAATTCTATTGATTTGTTCATTTTGTATATTGTAGCACTGTCAAGATGCGTGTAACTTCCAGTTCTGTAAAATGAGAAGTTGCCAGAGCAGCTCTGGATAATAATGGCTTTAGATGTCCCAGAGCCACTGGCGTTCGCCGATTTTATATTTCAAAAAACAGTCCGTACCAGCACAGCACTGATTCAATACCTTTTACAGTGCACTACGGTAAATTTTCCATACCTGTCTTGTACCAGCCTTGCAATGGAGGTGTGTGGCTTGATGGAGAAGCCCTGTTTGATTAACCCTCCACCCGCATAGGACTTCTGGACTGGAGCCTCCACGATAATCTCTCTACTGATGGAAATACCGCAAGGTACTGGTAGTTGATAGTCGTCCTGGATGCTCCTGGATAGAATCCTAAAACCACCTTGTCCTCAACTGGAAATCATGAGATCTGGGAAAAGTTTCTTGAGGTTCTTCAAGGAGAGTGAAATCTTGTTAGTTTGCTACAAGGATAACAAGAACCAAACACATGTTTTGTTCACAAATAATAGTCCCTGATATTTGAAATAGGAAGCCGTTCTAGTATGTGGCTTTAGCTGACCCGTGTGTACCGTATAAAGAGATTTCCAGCCGTACCTGGCCAGGTCCGCAACCTGGCATAGTGCTCCACTGGGCGATTGGGTTCGTGTCATGTCATGACATGACTCATGTGACAAGGGTCACCACGCAGTCCACGTTGGCTGTTCTTCTTTTACCACCAAATCCATGCCTTCACAACCACACATGAATGATATATGTGACCTGAGGCCAAATGTCTCGATTCGACGAATGGGGTGTGGTTCGAAGGTTTGTGCTGGTTCGGCTGCCAAACGTAGCCAATCAGGTACCATGAGACCACCGAGGCTGCCATGTTGCATGAAAGCGTTGGCAGGCACGCCGTCTCCGCGGTAAAGTGGGAGGAAAACGGAAACCCTACTTTCGCACTCCAAACAGAAGGCCTGGCGAAAGTCGCTTCGACGTCGCCACGCCACAACTGACACGGTGCGCATCCCTCATTCCCCCCCTCCCCTCCCCAACACGCCGCTTCAAGGAGTGTTTCTGGCGCACCCCGCAGAACCGCGTGAATCGGGGATTCGGTATACAAACGCGGAGAGTTCGGGGCAGGGGGGAACGGAAGCTCTCACGTCACGGGGCACCGATCAGGGCCCTTGTTTTATGGCCAGGGGTAGGGCACGGGAGGGGAGGCGAGGCCTGCGGCTTCCCTGCAGCTTCCGCGTCAAGCGAACGTCCAGCCAGCCACGGCCACAATCGAGATAAAACCCTCCCCTCGCACCACTGTTTCATTACCTGCCTTCATTCAATCAGATACTAACGACTCCTCTTGTTATCCTTCTGTCCCAGTTCAGACATCCAACTTAAAAAAAATCAGCTAAGCGTTCACTACTTCAAGCGATCTGCTCAAGTGTTGCCGCCTTCCTTCGCAAAACCTCTGTTAGTCCAACAACCATGGGCATGACTAAAAGCCTGCGTCACGATTCAGAGTCGATCGTCTCAGCTGGCCTTACAGACCTCCAAAAAAAAGAGCTCACGGATGCGTTTAGGAGAATCGACAAGGACGGCGATGGCGTCATCACGGCGGAGGAGCTGGCCACCGCTCTGAACCTCATCGGCGTCTCGGCATCGGAAGACGTAGTGTCGTCAATGATGCGTGAAGGGGATTTCGACGGTAACGGTAGCGTTAACTTGGAGGAGTTTCTAGCGCTGAACGCTATGGCGGAGCGGCTAGGAGGCGACGTGTCGCGGTCGGTGCTGAAGGACGTGTTTCAGGTGTTCGACGTGGACCACAACGGCGTGATCTCCGCCGACGAGCTCTTCCGCGTGATGGCGAACGTGGAGGGCGGCGGCGTGACGCTGGATGAGTGCAAGCGGATGATCAGCAGCGTCGACATGGACGGCGACGGCTTCGTCGACTTCCCCGAGTTTGAGAGGATGATGCAGGCGCAGAACGTCGTCAGGCACGTCGCCTGCTGAGTTCTGCTCTCAACCAATAAGCAGCCTGAGCCCCACACGTGTTCAGGCGCACGGCGCTTATCATAAGCTACTGCCGTCGAAGCCCTTCGATGCGGTCTCTGCTTGCAAGGGTCTCGACCATGAGGCATGTGGCATTGCGTCGTTCATTCTCGTTCTGTTGATTTGTATGTACGACATATGCGGTAGGAGAGACCTGGTGTATCGAATGTTCCGCCAATACTGCTGCATTAGCATCAGCACCTTTCGTAGGGTCATTCGCGCACTGAGCATTAGGGAACCTCTGAGCGTGGTATGTGTTATGCGTGATGTGTTGTAACCATGTTTGTTGATATAAAAGTTGGCTCTTCACAATGATCACTGTCACACATGATGCTCTGTCCATGGTCCGTGTATTATCCAAAAGCTTATCGTAATCACCTTTGAAGAGGAGAATACCATTGCAAAGCATCCAGCCAGATAACGGATTAGTGTAAAGACGTCATGGATGGAAGGTGACGGCAGTGCGACGGAGTGGGCGGTTGACGACGACTAGGCATTTGACACGGCGATGCAATTATTTGCAGGTCTGAGCGCCTTCGGCATGCTACCCTGTGTCAGTTGGTGGACTTGTCGCGTCATGTGGTTTCAGTGTAGCTAGCTGTAAATCACGGTACACTAATCCAAGGACCACCAGAAAGACGGGGAATATATGCGAATGGTAACATAAATGTGGCTTTATAACACGTACGGTAACCATAACAATGAATTTTCACGCGTTTGGCAACTCGATTCACACGTTTGGTAACTATACACTGGCAAGCCATCATGCGAATGGTAACTAGAAGAAACCCTCGACCAACTTGACCCTGATTCTGGTTTTTCCCGCTCGCGCCAGACTGAATTGACGAGTCCTGAAGCACGAAATTATGACACACTTTCCGAAATTCTGACACACTTTCCGAAATTCGGACTATTTTATGAAAAGTTGCTGTTTTGAAAACTGTTTCTAATATTCTGCAGATATTCTGGCGCTCGCGGAAATTTTATTTTACTTAATTCTATCGTACAACCGGGGCAAAAATATATACCCCTTTCGGATGGCAAATGATTTTGAGAGCATCAACCCTAAACTCCTTGCGACAAGGCGTTCAATGTTATTTCTACAATAAAGGCATGCCATTCGGAAGGGTATTATTTTCCCACCTCCAAAATTATCCCACGTTGAATTAATTACACATTTTTTTAAATAACATTATTGTCGCTTTTCCGGGAAAATTTCCTCATTTTGCAATTATACAATTATGCTCTCAAAAATGTAATTGTACTTGTTAGTAATATATTTCCGAGCTTAAAATAGATATGAAACGGCTCTGAAACTATTTGGTCCGTGGTAATTGAACAAACGCGATCCTTCAAAGTCACGGCGGGAATCGTTCAAAATCGATAAAACGGTCCGTGAAATATTTCAATATAACAAATTCCTTTTAGTCAGGATCATTTCGGCGGGAGTTTCATCTAGTTACCATTCGCGTGATCATTCGCCTGTGCTAAGTTACCAATTGCGTGAAACGAGTTACCAAACGCGTGAAAATGTACTGTAATAGTTACTGTACGCGTTAAAGAGCCCCATGTATGTTACCATTGGCATACTTTCCCCAGAAGACGCTTCCAGTCCAGTCTCCTCCAGAGCTAGGTATGGTATCAACATTGTCAGACCCTAACATTCAAACGCGTGAAAACACCATGAAATGGTTACCGTACGCATTTTAGTGCCCCATATAAGTTGTCATTGACATATTTTCCCTGTTCTTTATGCCTTCATGCAGTGTGTACCGGTATATTGGCTCCAATGGATAGGTAGCGTAGTGGCTCCTAACATGTCCCATTGTGCAACACTGCCAGCAGTAAAATTGGTATTCTCATTGCACAACTGCGGGCAACAAAACAGCAGCATGCGCCATCTAACCACATTTGTTGTCGTTCTTCACGTCTACTCTGTCCGCAGCCCATGCTGCGTGCTATGAGTAGCTTACATCCCGATTTGGGCATGAGCCTTGTTGAGAATGACTCCCTCGTACTTGACTTGGAACCACTTCATGGCATCCTCCTTGGTCACGCGGTGCTGAATGCCCACGCGGCACTTGGCCCGCCGTCGGCGCGACACGCGGTAGCCGGGGCGCTCGAGCACAACAAAGAAGTCCATTCCGTAAATGCCAGTGGACGGGTCGTACCTGTATCAATGCACATGGCACCACGGCAATAGGGTTGGTGAAAGTGGTATCATGAGAGACATGCTCAGTGTGGCAGTCAGATGAATGTGCTCCTAAGAACTTGGTTCCCAGGTCCATGTGCTCCTCAATACTCACTTGTATTCCCAAGACTCTCTATATCCCAGGTCAACATGATCCTCAATGCTCACTCTTTTCAAGACTCAAACTCCCAGTATGATGTGCTCCCCACTACTCACTTGATTCCCAGGTCAATGTGCTCCTGAATTCCAAACCCGAAGCAGCCAGTGGCACTGAAGTTGCGGCGAAGCAACTCAAACTCCTTCACCTGCTCTCAATAACCATGCCAACCCCGCAAGAGGTGAATAAAAAAACAGGAGCACCCCAGAGCGTTAACATACATGTATCACACGATCGAGTGCAACAGAGTGATACAGCAGGCACACAGACGTCTGGAAAAGAATCATGCTGTGCAACCACGAACAAACCCTAAATGATCATTTGATGCGCCATCCGCACTACTGATAAGGGTTGCAACAACTAACGGACACCCATAGAGCGGGAATGCAGCTCATTCTGAGGTCCTAAACCCGACCTTGAGAAAGCCCACCTCGATATCTTACAGCCCGGCTCACCTTGAGGCCGCTCTCAATGAGCTGCAGCGCCTTCTCGCCGCGCACTGTCACGTAGCACGCGATCTTCTCGTTACGCCGAATGCCGAACGATCGCACCGTGTAGCGCGCTGCAACAGGGGCCAGAGACGAGGAGCGAGGAGAGAGGGGCGAGGGGAAGGCCGAAAAGAGGGGAGAGGAGAGAGTGGAAGACGAGAAGACGGGGTTGAGAGTGAGGTGAGGACTTGTGGCTTAAATGACACGAGCACGAGACAATGAAAGTCGCGAAAAGCTGTCGAAGCGACGAAAAATGGCAGGTGAAGGCGACAGGGTCATGGGTCAACGCAAACACGGGAAACAGCGATTAGCAAAATAGACATGGCGTCTAGGGGAGGGAGCGGGGGGGGGAAGGGGGGAAGAGAAAACGGGCGAGCGGAACTAAGGGATGAGGGAGTGGACGAACGAGCGCGTGTGAGGGAACAGGGGCGAGGGGTGAGTGGGGGTGGGGCCAAGGCAGGAAGACTGACCCTTGGAGAAGACGGGCACTTGACCGCTCAGCTGCTCCAGCACCTGCCCTTGCACGCGGGTCCAGAAGCGTGGGAAAGAGAGGTCGAGAGGAGAATGGAGGGCGAGCGAGGGGGGAGAGCGCAGGGGGGGGGGGAAGGGGCATAGGGGCAAGGGGGAACGGAAGGGGTGCACGTGTGAGCGACAGGAAAGTGAGTTGATAGCGAGTTGTGTGACTTGGTCGCGCAACAGCGGCGAGAGTGGGCTACGACGCGGTGGATGGACGGGCGCGAGCGCGACCACGCGGACATGCGGCAGACGCACGCGGAGGGCCGACGAGCGTTAGGGATCCAGGCGCGCTCTGACCATTCTTGTAACTAAATTCGGCATCAGCGCCCTATATGACTATCGGAACCCTAAATCAACCAAAACCCGAAGCCGCTCGAACGGGCAGAACACTGCTCATAAGTTAAACGCCTGGCTCCCAATATTCCTGTATCCAGCAGTACGCGTCGCCACTTCCCTCTGCCTGGTATGCTCCAACTCCGTCTAGTTTGCATTCCCTCAGGCACCTACACTTTCCCTCAGGTTCGTACGCTTCCCCTCAGTGCCATAGCCTTTCTACCGCCACTGTCGCTCCTCCCGCCTGTACCGCCTCGCCGGGCGTACGAATCCCCCCAGTACCTGCTTCTTTCACCTGCTCCATCGCCCTGTCAATCGACCTGCTCCCCTCGTTACGGACTCGCAGCCGGGCAGCAACAATCGAGGCCGAAGTGCATCTACAACCACCTCAACGGGTTCCCCCGCACTCATCGGTACCAACGGGCTAGTGCGTGCGGTACGAAGGGGCTGAGCTTGCGCTGCGAATGATCCAGTCTGCGCGGTACGGTCTGCTTCACGGTTCGACTGTGGCAGCACACGCTACGCGAGACGAGAAACCGTGGTCAGCTGAAGGCGCGCCAGGCCGACTGCAAGAGGCGATTCGCGAAGGCCGAATGACACGACAGTAGGCCGGCTGCGTGCAGTAAAATGCTGGTTGACCCCGCCGTGGCAGCGTGCAAGCGCGCGTGACGCACCTAACCCGACCTTGGCCACGCGAGAGGCAACTAATCCAACATTGCCAGCGTGAGAGGCAACTAATCCCACCTTGGCAGCGCGAGTGAGGCGATCGCCGCTCTCTCCGACGCAAATGTTGAGCACGAGCTTCTGCACCTTGATCTCCCGCATCGGGTTGCTCGACTTCTTCTCCGCCGCCTGCCACCCACACCCGCACGCGCACCCGCACGCACCGCACACCCACACACCCACACCACACGCACACCCGCATGCACCCCGCGCAACACATACCATGCATAGCCGTCCAGGATCCCACACACCATGTACACACGGAAGCAAACCATCCGTTCCGCGCACAGCACGCACAGCACACGCGCACAGGCAGCAAGCGCAGACAACATGACACACGCGAGCACCCCGAAACGCGACACGAAGGGGAATGGAGAAGTGCGGCGGTTGGTGGTTTGGCGAATGGCGCACAGCGGCAATGGAACGACGAAACTCTTCTGAGGTGAATCTCTGAATTTCACCAGATACCACAACTAAGCCTATCGCTTTCCCCAGAAATTCTCGGATCGAGCTGTAGCGAAACGCCTAGATTCTCTTCGAAAAACATAAAGCCTGGTCATGGCGCCACGTAACCCAAGAGACCTAATCGCGCGCTTACCATGGTGAAGGTATTGGGTGTCTCCTACAACAAGGGGTGTTCCGTGAGGAGGGAAAAGAGCGAGGGAAGGAAGGTGAGGGAAGAAGAAGGGAAGGGAAGGGAGGGATGGGAAGGTCGGGTGAGGCGAGGGATGGCGAGGTGAGGCGAAGGGCGAAAGCTAGGGGAAGGTGAGGCAGGGAGTGCAAGGGGGGCGAAGCCAAGCGCGAGGGAGAAAGGGCTGCTGCGAAACGAACGCGGGTGGTAAACCACCAACAATTAGGGACCTCGATTATGTCGGACCCGACAGAGCTAGAAAATGTAAATCAGGAGACCACCTCTTTAGACAACAACTTGACAACACAACTCTCACAAAGGCTACCAATCAATTCATTGTACATACTGTAAGCATGCAGCACATTGGTATAGCAGATTTGTTGTGAGAATGGTAGATGGAAATCTAGGACTGGTACTCTATACGCCTTCCTGCATTTTGACAAGCAACTATTCTAGTCATTTGAGCATAACGCCTTAATGCACTTGCTATTTTCATGAAACTCTGCACCCCCTTATTCCAGCTTTCCTTGCTCCAATTCATCTTCCTCCATTCCCTCCTCTGCCTCGCCTGCTGCTGTTGCAACTGCTGCCTTCGTGAGCCCCACCGTTTCCTCGTCCTCATCAGGAGCATCCTCAGAATAAGCGTACCTGAGAAGAAACAGAAAATAAGTGAACACACACGGAACACCAATGAGCAAGGCTACAGTAATCAGGAGGACAGGCTGCTTGACCAACATGCAATAGACGTGCCTGCACACAAGGACATCAGCAACCGGCAATAGCATGAAAGAGGCATGGCGTGACGTCACCTGGTGGAGGCCTGGGAGGGCGCCCAGAGGATGCAGATGACGCAGAGCAGCAGGAAGGTGAGCACGTGCCAGAAGCACCCCGTGATCCAGTCCGCCTGCCACCGCTCGTTGAAAGGGTCCGTCACCTTGAAAAAGATCTGCCCGGCACCAGGGGTGCAGCAGGGATGGCCATGTGCATCACCATTGCATGGAGGGGTGCACGCAGGGGAGAGGCTTAGATTGTGACCCCGACTGTGGTGTTGCATGGATGGGTTGCGGGTAGATGGAACGTGCAGGGCTAGGAATGGAGAAAAGAGGTGTGCAACGTGGAATCGCAGACGATGCACATGATGCACTTGCATGCATGCGGCTGACCTCATAGGCGATCCAGGCGACGGAGATGAGGACGGAGAGGGCGAGCATGTTGGTGAAGCGCCGGTACAGCTCCAACTTGTGCATCGTGCGCTTCGCCTGCCATGCATGCATGCATGGCGGGGCGCACGGGGGGGGGGCACCGGCGAGTAAGGGGGGGGGCGCACAGGGGGATGCAGGAAGGGTTTGCGGAAGGACAGGGGGGGGGGCGCACATGGGAGCGCATTCAAGAGCGGATCAGCGTGTGGTTCCTGTTCCAAAACTGTCAAGGAGCAGGGCGGCGTCTGGCCGCGCTGCAACGTGTACGCACTGTGTGAGCCCTTCCCACCCCGCCCCGTGCCATCACAGTGAATCATAAACCACCCGCAGAGCCCCTCCAGCCGCACACAGCCCATCACCCCCCGCGCACACACACCACTGGCGGATCCATGCGCTGACCTGCCAGCACCTCCACCCACGCACGCACTGACTGGCAGCACCATGCACGCACCTGCAGCTGAGCGAGGGTCTTGGAGAGGGCGGTGAAGATCCAGAGGATGAAGGCGGCGTCCAGCACGGCCACGGGCAGCACCAGGATCACGCGCTCGCCGCTGCTCAGGTCGTCTATCGCCCCCACGTTCTGCATCACGTCCAGACCCTCCGCTGCCACCAGGTACGCCGCCCCCAGCGCCACCACCTGCGCAAGCCCGGCCACGCGAGGCGAGGGCATGTGCACGCGGATGGGGGAGAGGGGGTTGAGGGAGGAGTGGACGGCGAGTGATAAAGCAATGCGGCCCCACCCGTGAGACTTACAACGATTGACCCACTCCCTTGTACTGTCTTCACACTTGCCCCACTCCCGAGTTGCACACAGTCCCCCCTTCCCCCTCCCCCTCCCCATCCCCATCTCCCCAAGCGCACCTTGCCCGAGAGCCCCCCCAGAATGGGGCGCACGACGCTGAAGCCCATGGCGACCACGAGGATGAGCACACTACCCCCTTCCCACCCACCCCCTCTTGCCAGCGCACCTTGCCCGAGAGCCCCCCGAGTGTGGGGCGCACGGCACCGAAGCCCATGGCGACCACGAGGATGAGCACGCGCGACACGGCCTTCCCACCCCCCCCCCCTCTTGCCAGCTCACCTTGCCCGAGAGCCCCCCAAGTGTCGGGCGCACAACACCAAAGCCCATGGCGACGACGAGGATGAGCACGCGCGACACGGCCTTGCGCACGGCGCCCACGCTCACGGCCCACACGGTGATGCCCATGGGGCGGTACCCGGAGGCGTTGAAGTTGACGAAGTCGAAGTACCAGGCGGCCATCTCTGTCATGGCCAGGAAGAGCACGGCTGTGATGCAGTGCTGCAGCTGTAGCACGTCCCTCCAGAACCGCGCGTACTGCACCAGCCACAGCAGCCCCAGCAGCAGGTACGCCTGGGGGGGGGGGGGGGAGCGGGGCGAGAGCGGAGGGGGGAGGGGAAGGGAGAGGGGAGTGGGGAAGGTTGCAGCGTGGAGGAGTGGAAGGCGGAGGGTCGAGAAGGAGAGTCACGGAGGATTGCAGAGGAGGGAGGAGGGAGGGGGGCTCGGGTAGGAGCAGGGGAAGCAGGACCCACTGCAAGCAGTGGCGTGATCTGAGCAGCTGGACTCGGGATGCAAGGGAGGACTGGGTGGACATGCGACGCTCACAATGGGCATAGGAGGGAAAGAGGGAGGCATTGCTCACAATGGACATAGCACCGAAGAAGTTGAGGTAGGGAGTCATCATGCCGGGCAGGTACCCCGAGGAAAGGGCGGAGGGTTGAGGAGGAGAGTACAGGAGGTTTTCAGAGGAGGTAGCGACGGAGGGATTGCGCCCCACTCACGATGGACATGGCGCCCCACTCACGATGGACATGGCGCCAAAGAAGTTGAGGTAAGGCGTCATCATGCCGGGCAGGTACCCCGAGGGGTTCTTCCACACGGTGCCGCCCGTGACCGACACCTCCGCCAGGTTCTTATCACAGATGACGAACCACAGGTAGTACATGCCCGTCCGCGTTATGTGCATCTCCGATGCCGCCGCCTCCACGGCGCTGTCGTTGCCCATGAAGTTGATCTCCACCACGCGCGGCCACTGCGGGGGGGGGGGGAGGAGGCGGCTCAGACCACACCCGAGACCATGCGGGCAAAGCGCGCGATTGGAGTGAGGCGTGTGGGGGGGAGGGGGAAGAGAAGTGCGAGCGGGAATGAGAGCGGGGTGGGTGCGCCGTGAGGGGGTAACGGGGGAGTGGAGAAGTTAGCTGCAGGGACACTCGCAAGCGGTGCATTGTAGCACCCCATTGCAATCCACCCCTTAATGCCCTCCGCACTTCCTCCACCCAGCTCTCAACACCCTCCTGAAGCCCTCCGCACCCCGCACGGCTCGCGGCTGACCTTGCTGTCGTCGTCGCGGGGGCGCACGATGAGGTGGCCGGGGTTGCACCCCGTCTTGCGCACGAGCTCCGGCGTGCAGCAGAACGACCGCGTGCCCGTCGGCGACGTGTGGCCGATGCGCGCGCGGTCGCCCACCTCGAACAGCAGCGCCTCGATCAGCCCTGTCTGCCCCGCCACCGGCGCGTCGCGCGCCTCCCAGATGGGGCGATGGAAGGTGAGGTGCTGGAACCTGATGGGGGAGGGCGAGCAGGGCGAGGGGAGCGCAGGGGAAAGCAGAGGGAGCAGAGGGAGGAGGGAAAACAGCGAGAGGAGGGTGGTGATGGGAGATGAGACCGCATGGGCTCGTGGAAGGTGAGGCGATGGAACCTGATGGGGGGCGCGGACCAGAGCGGGGAGGGCGGCGGACGTGACTGCGCATTGGTACGCGATTCAAGGATTTGCGACCATTGCCATGCCCGTCCCCTGTTTCGCAAGCTGCGGTAAGCCGGCATTGGCCGACGGGTCACAGTGCTACTTAGAGTTCCGCAGGCGACTGTCTGAATGTACCTTCCAGAGTGCAGACCCTGGTGTCGTCGCGAGTGGCGACGCGCACGCCTTGTGCACGTGGAAGAGAATGGCAGCGGCGCGACGACAGAGAGCGTCAGCTGGTTTCAACGCACCTCGCTCTCACGCGCCACCGGTGCTTCTCTTCCCCACGCCGATCCCAGACAACTACTTCACACATTCAGATTCATCGGCAAATTACAGCTATTGCTGTCCGACACTAACATAGCTTGGTCATTCGACGCCATTGTGAGCGAATCCATAGGAGTCCGGAAGGGAGGGAGGGCGCGATAGCACTGGGAGCACTGGGAGCACTAGGAGCACACGCACACACCTGACGTATGCCTTGCCATTGGCGACGGCCTTGCCGATCGTCGTCCAGTGAGCCACCGCTTCAGGCGTGGACGAGAAGAGTCCTTCCCGCCCACCGCGGAACAGGAAAGCATCAGCGGTGTGGAAAAACCGATTACCCTTATAGGTGTGCACGGACGCATTCGCTCTAGCTATCAGTCCCAGCAGCAGCAGTATGCCGAATGCACAGAATCTGGAAGAGCATGCCATCATGTGCATCTCGCTTGATCGCGATGGGCGAGAAAAAAACGTAACAAATCTTTTATGCTAGAAAAAATAGCCAAGCATTTGCAACAAGTCGCGCTTTGCTCTTTAGGAACGCTTTATTGTGAGCCAGACGCAACTATGAGATTTGAGACCGACCGAATCTAGGAAAAGTTGCTGGAGTGAGAAGGATTATGGTGGAGTTGGCTGGGCGAGGCAGAATCTAGGAAAGGCTGCCAGCCAGGGTGATCGTAGATCTTGCGACCATATGAAAAGTTACTGAAGCGAGCGGGAAGGGAGGCAGTGCACGGGGGAAGAGAATAGAGCACCTCAATTGGTTGGAAGATGTCAAGCTCTCTGACAAGTTCGTCATTGAGGTTTCCGACATTGTTTAGGATGCCCAAATCTAGTAGGTTTGCAGAGTTGCAATATCAACCTTCCAAAGTGCAACGGCTCTGCATGAACAAACGCGTGGAAATGAGATTGTGGCGAAGCCTCTGTTTTTGGAACAGCCGTGTCATTCCCCGTGCTCGGACGTGGTGTGCCGTGAGTCGCGCTTTCCGAGGTGTCTGCGAAAATTTGGTTCCGACGGCGACGCGCGTATTGTGGCTGGCGCATTTCCCCATCGCAATGCACGCACGGAAATTCCAATCGAATCCCCCCTCCCCTCTGTCGACTCCATCATCCTTCAGGCAAAATTTCACTTCCCTCGCGCCAGTCAACTAGCAAGACGGCCATTGTTCTCTCATCTCGTTCATGTCCCACCGACACCTGTCCACTGCTGCCTTCACGTGGTAGCTAGGCGCTGTCGGTACCAGCTTCTATATCAGCAGCTTCTCAAAGTACCAAAAGTGAACTGCCTCATCTGGATTCGGCCTTACATACGTACCTAGAAGATTAAGGAACACAAAGCCCACAGTGAACACGCGGAAGTTTATCACTTCATTCTGTCACCTACCTAGCTTAGAGTGCACCTGCTAGGACTGACATACGCCGCTTAGGTCGTCCCCACCATGAGAACGATACATATAGCAATTCTCCTCACCGTAATATGTAAGGCCCGACGAGCCCAACATCTCTTCACCCGCTTACCTTTCACGTTGCGCATTGAACAAAACTCTCGTTTCAATTGTCGCGCCTGCACTCACGAGAATCTAGAGGCGCTATCGTGTGCGCTGACGCACTCGTACTTACCCGCATCCGTTGCTCTCCTCACCATCCCATTCCCCGTGACTCCACGCAGGCGCGCTCGTGACGCCTCCAGCGCTTGCAGCTGACCTAGTCAGTAAGTGAACCGCTTCATTCCCTCCGCGGGTCGCCCCGTCCGCACTCTGTCTTGTCTCCCTCCCCGTGCTCGTACAATCACCGGGCGGACTAACCGGTAGTGCGGTGTGTGTGCGTGCAGGCTCGGTGATATTCAAGCTGGACTCGAACAACAAGAAGGAGGTCATCTCCAGCGGCAAGGCCAACCTGCGCGTCTACAAAAAGTCAGTTGCCTACCCTGCCCTGCCGCGCCCCTCTCGTCCATACCCGTCCTCCTCGTCACTGCCAGTCCTCGTTTGCTTGTCCACTCTCCGTCTGCTTGTCCTCTTTCCGGCTGCTCGTTCACTTCACGTCAGTTCGTGCCCAGTTTTCACCCCCGTTTCGGTCATTGGAATGCCGAGGTGACGCGGCAAGCCTCAACCCGTGCTCGAAACGCTGCTTACCGTTTCACGCTCCCGTTCCCCCATCCCGCGTCGCGCAGCGAGGACGGCACGTACACGCAGACGATGTCGATCGATCTCAACGAGGTGTTCACCAAGGGCGCTGCGCCCTACTACCGCCTCTTCCGCGGCAAGCCGGGCACGGCCGGCTCGCTGGCGTTCAGCGGGTACCAGACGGTGGGGTGGCAGCGCAGCAAGTCGCCGTACAACCCGCTGAAGCCGTTCATGAAGGGCCGGCACTCGCTGCAGCACACGGCATCGTACGACAGCATCACCGAGGCGCAGTACGACGCGTACGTGAAGCCGTACATGGAGCAGCCGTCCGGCTACTACCTCGTCATCTACTACCCCGGCCTGCGCCCCGCCATGCAAGGCCGCGGAAGCGTTGGTTGACGCCTGTTGGCTGTGTATACAATAAGTGAGACATGGTAGCGTCTCCTCTCCAGCTACTGTCTGCTAATCTTGCATATCACTTTGTATGCTATACTGTTAGGTTAAATTGTTGGGCATACGGAATGTTGAGGCCATGAGTGAGGTATCAAACCAGTGGGTTCCATCCAGCATCTCGTGAATGTAGCATCTTTGGTCACAGCATAGAATGCAATTGACACCATTGGACCTGGAATGGCATCTTGAAGGAACCTGGTATGTGGTGAAGGGATGGGATCATGGGATGGGAGGGAAGAAGGGTGTGTGTGGGGGATGGAGGAGGCCAGGGTCAAGGAGATGAGGGTGGAGTTGTGGGGAGAGGGGATGAGAATGTTGGGCTGAGAAAAAGCCCTTAGGATCTTTGCAGGGCTAAACTCTGGGTAGGAATTGTCAAATGTTGTTATTGGTTGTAGGCTGCAGTGAGTAGCACTCTAAGGAGTACAACACTCTTAGGGTTTCTATTTGTATGCCTTGCTCTCCTAAGTCAAACATTCCGTTGCATTCACTTTCTGAGATGGTATCACGAGTAGGTTTAGAATCCTTGCCTAGCCTAGCCTACCTCGCGCCCTCCACGCCCTAGAGCGTCTCCGCGCCTTACGCGCCCTCCGTCACGTGCCCTCGCACCCTCCGCGCCCTTGCGCCCTCCGCGCTCTAGAGCGCCTCCGCGCCTTACGCGCCCTCCGCGCCCTAGCCTCGAGTAACGCGGCCTCCGCGCCCTAGCCTCGAGTAACGCGGCCTCCGCGCCCTCCGCGCCATCCGCGCCCTCCGTAACGCGCCCTCCGCGCCCTCCGTAACGCGCCATCCGCGCCTCCGCGCCTAGCCCTCCCCTACGCGCCCTCCACGCCCTCCGTATCGCGCCTCCGCCCCAGCCCGTCGCGTAACCCGTGCGCCCTGCCCTAGCCCGTCGCGTAGCCCGTGTGCCCTGCCCCAGCCCGTCACGTCGCCCATGCGCCCTGCCCCAGCCCGTAACGTCGCCTGTGCGCACTGCCCTTAGCCCGTGCGCGCCCGAGCGCCCTGCCCCTAGCCCGCCGCGTCGCCCCGCCCCGCAGGTAGCGCGCCCCCCACAGAAATCGTGCCCCGCAGGGAGCGCGCCCCGCGGGTAGCGCGCCCCGCAGGCAGCGCGCCACGCGGGTAGCGCGCCCCACGGGTAGCGCGCTCCGCAGGCAGCGCGCCCCGCGGGTAGCACGCCCTGCAGGCAGCACACCCTGCAGGCAGCGCGCCCCGCAGCGCTTTAGCGCCAGAAAATAAAATTAATTAATTAAACCCTAAAAAAAAAAAAAGGGGTTCAAGGTGGGGGGCTGCAACTGTCGCCCGCGTTCCTGCTTGCCGGACGACCTGCACAGTTCCCTACCTCCCGCAGCCGTCAGTACTGCAGCCCCTTTGTCGCACGTACTTTCCACTGCCACTGGCTCCACTAGCGGCAGCCGACAGCCGCACTTACGGTCTCTAGCTCCAGCCGTTCTCACTCCAGCCGTTCTCACTCCAGCCGTTCTAGCTCCAGCCACTCCTAGCTCCAGCCGTGCCTAGCTCCAGCCGTTCTCGCTCCAGCCGTTCTCGCTCCAGCCGTTCTAGCTCCAGCCGTTTCAGCTCCAGCCGTTCCAACACCGGTCGTTCCTCGCCTAGTTTCACCTGGCGCTCCTAGCTCAGTGTGCTCCGTGCTCCAGCCGTTCCTCGCCTAGTTTCACCTCGCGCTCCTAGTTGTTCTCGTGGCCGTCCCTAGCTCCTGCCGCTCCTAGCCTTTATCATGGCGTCCACTAGGGTTCTCCAGCAGCAGGGACAGCAGCAGCGGCAGTTTCAGCAGTGGCACCCGCAGCCGCAGTGGCGCCCTCAGCAGCAGCTCTGCCCTCAGCAGTTGTGGCGCCCTCAGCAGCCGTGGCGGCCTGGCGGTTCGGGTAGCGTTGGCTGCAGCAGCGGCCCAGCCGGCTTGGGGGCTCGTCGCGGTGGCCGGGACGTCGGCCCCTGCCAGTACCGGATCCTGACCGGCCCTGGTGCTGGCACTACCTGCTGGCGGCCTGACCACTCTGCACCGCGCTGCTACAGTCGCCTCGACGACCTATACCGTGAGCGTTTTGGGCCTGAGTCGGCTCCCCCGATCTGGCCCGGTTTGTTTCGTAGTGGTTACCCTGTGTTTGATATGTCTATGGATGCTGTTTATTCTGTCACGTACAGATCTCTTGGCTTGCGTGTACCTAGCTTAGGAGCTTTGCCTGTTGCTAGTGTAGGTACTTGCGCTTTTAGTGTAGGTGCTTGTGTAGTCACTAGCCCAGCCGTGACGACTGCTGTTGCGTCGCTCTCCTTCACGCTGGACTCCGGCGCGTCCCAGTGCTTCTTTCGCGACCACACCACTGTCACACCTCTTTCGGCTCCAGTCCCAGTTGCCCTGGCTGATCCTACTTCAGGACCAGCAGTTGCTCGCAGCTCGACCACTCTCCCGTGCCCAGCTGTCCCCTCTGGTTTCCTCACTGGTCTCTACATCCCCTCGTTCTCTCGGAACTTGGTGGGTGTTGGATACCTTCAGGACCGGGGGATCACAATCACTTTTCCTGCGCACGGGAGGACTGCGATCTGTACAGACTCTTCCACCGGGGCAGTTCTTGCCACGTTCACCAGAGAGCCCCACTCAGGTCTCTTCGTCCTGCACACTCCGCCCCCGCAGGTAGCAGAGTCCGGTCAGGTTACTGCGTCCCCACCGGATGCTGTGTCCGGTCAGGTTGCTGTGTCCGGTCAGGTTGCTGTGTCCGGTCTAGTTGCTGCGTCTTGCTCGTGCCGGTCTTTCACCCACCGGACCGTCTTGTGGCACCACCGTCTTGGCCACGCGTCGATCCCCCGCCTCCGCACTATGGCTAGTCACCGTCTTGTCTCAGGTCTCCCTCGCGCCTCCCCACCGCCACGACACTCGTCTCCACGCGGCCCGTCGGCGTGAGCGTGAGGAGCAGGTGCTGTTGGAGAGGGAGCGGCAGGAGTTGCGGCAGTTGGACCTGCTGGAGCAGCAGCAGCAGCAGCAGCAGCAGCGGCAGCAGCAGCAGCAGCGGCAGCAGCGGCAGCAGCAGCAGCGGCAGCAGCAGCAGCAGCAGACACCGCCGCCGCAGCTGCGACCACAGCAGCTCCCTCTGGAGCGGCAGTTGTTCCCACCCGTGAGTGGCCTTCGGGCCCTTGGTCTTCCCTCCTCTCCTCCTGTTCACACTCCGTCCCCTCCAGCGTTTGGTCCCACGTTTCCTCCTCCTGACGCCCGTCCGGCGGTCTGGTCTTCTCCTCCACCGCAGTCTCCTCCACCTAGTGTCCCGCACTCTCGTGTCCGTCCCTGTCCTCCGCGTGCTCGTCACTCGTCTCCCGTTACCGACCTCCGCACTGCCCTCCTTTGTTCGTCTCTTCGTCGTCCTCCTCCTGAGTCCGTTCTCCCGTGTCCACCTCCGTCCTCTCTCCCTTTCCCCCCTACTCCTGTCACTGACTACTACCGCGATGTTCGTCCTGTTGTCTCTCGTGTCCTCGCCACTCTTGTCACCGACTCTCGTTTCCCTCCGTCGTCTGTCTCGGCTCTCACTGCCCCTGTCGCTGAGTTTGCTGCCGCCAGTCGCCTTGACTACACCACCCGTGTGGTGCCAGCTCCTCCCTCCCGTCCTCTGTCCGTCGGGGGTGGGTTTGCCCTTGGCTGTGACGTCCTAGAGGACAGAGAGTCTGAGCTGGAGTACTGGGCAGCCGCTTCTCCCTCTGTCTGTGCCATGCTGCTATCCCCTGAGGGAGACCCCGACGCCCTTGACATACCGACTCCTCGCACTTACCGCGAGGCAGTGTCAGGGGCGTGGGCCTCACAGTGGAAAGCGGCTATGGCCTCGGAGTTAGCGTCTTGGAGATCCACAGGCACCTACGTCGACGCAGTTCCCCCTCCCAGGGCGAACGTAGTCGATGGCATGTGGCTCTTCAAGGTGAAGCGGCCGCCTGGTTCACCGCCTGTGTTCAAGGCGCGCTACGTGGCTAGGGGTTTCAGTCAGCGTGAGGGAGTTGACTTCTTCCAGACCTTCGCCCCGACCCCGAAGATGACTACTCTTCGGGTGTTACTGCACGTAGCAGCACAGCGAGACTACGAGCTGCACTCCCTTGACTTCTCTACTGCGTTTCTCCAGGGCCGACTACACGAGGAGATCTGGCTGCGCCGCCCTCCTGGCTTCACTGACACCTTCCCACCTGGGACGCAGTGGAGCCTGAGACGGCCAGTCTACGGTCTCCGCCAGTCGCCCCGTGAGTGGCACGACACTCTTCGCTCCACGCTTCGTGACCTTGGGTTTTGTCCTTCCTCTGCCGACCCGTCGCTGTTTGTTCGCACTGGTTCCACTCCTTTCTTTATACTAGTGTACGTCGACGACTTGGTCTTTGCCACAGCAGACAGGGCAGCTCTGGCTCAGGTGAAGTCCGAACTGCAGAAGAGACACACGTGCACTGACCTAGGTGAACTGCAGCGCTACCTTGGCCTGGAAATCACTAGGGACAGAGCCGCTCGCACCATCACATTGACTCAGTCACACATGGTGCAGCAGGTCCTTCGGCGGTTCGACTTCCAGTTCTCCACCACACAGCCCACACCTCTTGCTGTTGACCACAGACTCACTGGCCCCTTTCCCGACGAGCCTTTTGAGCCCAGTGGTCCCTACGCAGAGCTGGTGGGCTGCCTCATGTACCTGATGACTTGTACTCGGCCGGACCTCGCCTTTCCCCTCAGCGTCCTCTCTCGCTTTGTTGCGACTGGGAGACACCGTCCTGTCCACTGGACAGCTGCTGTGAGGGTGGCGAAGTACCTGGCGACTACATCAGGCATGGGGCTTGTGCTTGGAGGGACTCAGCCAGTGGCGTTGACTGGTCACTGCGACTCTTCCTATGCTGACGACGTGGAGACTCAGCGCTCGACTCAGGGTTACTGCTTCAGTCTGGGAGCTGGTGCTGTGTCGTGGAGGTCTACACGGTCGTCGTCT